CACCTCGGTGAATCCTCTTGATGTCAAAGCAGGAGTTCCTGGAAAAGAGTGCGCTTCTTAGTGCCAGAGCAATCACCCAGGTTTTCATCATACCCATTCTTACTCCGCCGGGCACCATCGCAGAGACATCTCCAGGCACTGTGTTCTTGTTGGCAGCAATGTGAGCCAGCTCGAGGACTCGTTCTACCCTGGATCCATCCAGCCCCTGGAAGACAGAATAATTCATTCAAACAGCAATGTGACAGTACCTTGTTTTTCAAGTTGACCAGAACTAAGTGATTCTCTGTTCCACCTGACACAAGCTCGTAACCTTTTGCCATCAAATGCTACAGAACTCTTCATTTAGAAAGAAACAAAAATAAAGACGCTATGTTATACCTTGGCAAAATGAGCAGAGTTTCGAAGAACTTGTTCTTGATAAGCCTTGAACTCTTGTGTAGATGCCTGCGACATCCCCATTTTTAGATTGACAGTAGAATTCGGCTGATTACCTGTTTAAGAGCCACGGCAAGCGCAGCAATTGTGTGATTGTGAGGACCACCTTGAAGCCCAGGGAACACTGCAGCATTTATTTTCTCAGCGTAGTCGTATAGAACCTGCGAGGCGCTGTCAAGGAGGTAACTTGGGAAAGTAAACGTACCTCCTGTCCTTGTTTGTTAGTTTCTTTCACACCCTTGCGGAAGAAAATCATTGCTCCCCGAGGACCTCTAAGTGATTTGTGCGTGGTAGTGGTGACAACGTCTGCAACGTCGAATGGAGATGGCACGACACCAGCAGCTACAAGTCCGCTTATATGAGCCATATCAGCTAGAAGGATTGCCTTTTGCTTGTTGCAAATCTGTGATAACGTTACTTTGGAGTTAAAGCTGCAATCGCTATCTACTCATATGTACCTGACGCATTCGTGCATAATCATAATGCCGAGAGTAGGCGCTGGCTCCAGCCACGATGAGTTTTGGCCGGAAGAGTGTCGCGCTTTTTTCAAGCTGGATAAGACTCCAGGTTAGTCTCAAAAAGCGAAGTTCTTTGAGACTTCTACTATTCGATTTACCTGATCGTAGTCAATAAAACCTGTAGATTCATCCAGCCTATATGGCATCGTTTCAAAAAAGATTGAAACAGCCGAGATTTTCTTAGTATCTGTCTGTGCAAAATAAAGAAGAATGCCGCTTAGCTTCTAAAGCCAAAGGTTGCCTACCTGATAACCATGAGATAAATGGCCTCCGTGAGGTAAATCAAGAGCCATAATTCTTTCGTGTGGTTTAAGCAAAGCTGTATACACTTGAAAGTTTGCTGGAGAACCAGATAATGACTGCACATTAACTGCAAAGAAAAGAAGTCAGAGCTTTATCCTTTCGCCACTGATAAAACGTACCTCCCCATTCGTTTGGATTGAGACGAAAAGCTTCTAGTGCTCGTTTCTGGCACAAAGACTCGGCCATATCAATGAACCTAGAACGAACAAATATTAAGCGTTCCTAGACGTCACTTGTGAAGAAAAAACGACCTACTCATTTCCACCGTAGTAACGAGCTCCTGGATAGCCCTCGCTATACTTGTTGGTCATGATGGATCCCACTGCTTGCATGACTGAAGTTGAAGTAAAATTCTCCGAGGGAATTAGCTCCAGTCCCTGGTAAAACAGATCCAAAGTTTCCTTCTATGTATAGCGAAATTTACCAACCTTCCATTGACGATTTTTTTCCAGCTCAATTATATCAGCGATTTCCGGATCAACGTCGCCAAGTGGAGCGTTGAGCTGCTTTGGCCACTGCGAGAACGCGAATGCATGTAAACGGATAAGACAAAGATTACTACTTTCTAAAAGGGAATTCTACTTACTGTGACATGGGATTTATCCTTGGAACTCTCGAATCGCGAGTACACTTCGTCATTGGCCACGGCGGTCTGGATCACACATCAGAATGTAGCTAGCTATCGAAATTTCACAAAGATTCTACCGACGCATTTCGCGAGAGGATCGATCTGGCATCGCCGAGCGCCCTGTTTGCCGCGATCGCGAGCGCCGTAGAGGCACGAAACCTGGACAATCGCCGAAGAACAGCTGCCGAAGCTAGCGCCATTGCTCGATCGCAATCCCTCGCGGCAACGCCGCCCCAGCCCAAAATATTTCTTCGTCCACTGCCAAGCAAACTAAATGACCTATTATCTATCGTCTATACTAACACTCTTTTTCTCTTGTGGCCTGTGGCTGGAAGCCACGTCACCATGATCCTACAAGGTGTGGTTCATGTTACTTGACTGGTAGATAGCTACACTGTCATTGTTTTTGCGTGAGCTTCGTAAGAAAAAAAAAAAGTAGTAACATCATATGGATTATTACCTGTAGTGGTGTTGTCTACCAAGTATTATATCCTCCTATATCCTTGAGAGAAGCCAAAAAATTCTTGGCTAGCTTAGTGACGTCAGGATTTCCTGAATATCACTCGCTTCAAAGCTATCAAAATTTGCGAGGCCGTGACCCTCCCTCTCGGATGATCCGAACGAGCTGCTCGATGATCCGGCCCTGGAACTGGAGCTGGGAGTGCAATTCTCGGCCGCTATCTCTGCTAATCCTCCTCCTCTCGATGCTACTTTGTTCGATTTGCCGCCGCCACAGCCTTTTGATCGTTTCCTGGTGCTCGACTTCACGGCGGCTCTCTTATTGTTGTGATTATTCGTGTCCGAGGACGTCGATGAGTCTTCCGGGGATGCAGCCTTCTTCCCGAGAATTACCTGGTGCCAGGTGAAAAATTCTCAGCACAAACAAAGAGGATTGCAAGCTTCCGAGACTACTTACGTATTTTCCAGCTGCGGAGTTCTTATATTTGTAAAGCCGCAGAAGATCTCCTTCTTTAAGACAATGGGACCTGATAAACTCTCCTGCGAAATCCGTGCCAAGAGTGAGACAAACTTCTGATTCATCTACGTCAAAAGTTTCTTACCCGTGTTTTCCAGAAGATACATTCGGCTTTTGTTGTTGGGCCAGAATCTATGTCGTGCTCGAGATTGTAAGAACTTCCACCTACATTGTAAAGAATCTTCGAAGTTTACCTGTATCTCATGTGCCACTTATATGCGGTGGTCAGATCCTCCATCACAATCGTCATCCCTTCTCGAACAGTCAAGTAAGGCAGGCAGCTCTCGGCTTCTTTCTGCTCGAAGAAAAACGAAAATCTCTTTCGCTATTCGCTAGAAGAAATTTCTTCATACCTTTGGGAGGACAATCCTTCCCAGGTTTCCAACGTCGCTTGGCTTGAGCTGCTTCTGCAGAAGAAATTCCAAGTTCTTCTCGACAATTAGTTCCTGAAAAGACATTTGCATAAATTAAGTGAGCTCCAACAAAAAATCTCGGCAAGCTTTACCTCCACAGACTTTCGCGATGTGCAGCAAGGAAAAGGCACCTGGTATGGCAGCGATCGCCTCTTTCTTGCCATGCGACACTTACGCGCAGTGGACCTAAAGGGCAACTCCACCTTGATCTGTCGATCGCTCCCTGGAAGAAATCCTCCTGGCGTGTGAAAGTGTTCTTCGATAGGCTGCTGCTCCACCTTGATATTCGCCACTGGATCGAGAATGTTGGCAGCAGCGGGGCCATCGATCACTTGCGGCGAAGCGACCATGAGGTTATCGAGAATTGCCGCTGGGCAATGCCGCCGAAAGGCATAAAGATTCGCGGATGAGCCGATCGCATCGCCTTGCTGTTGCTGCTGTTGCTGCTGGGATTGGAGAACCTGGCACTCGAGCTGGGGACAAGAGAACCAGTATTGATCCTCGATGGAGGCGGTGGCGGATTCTTCGTCACCGATCACGATGCTGTGATGCTGCTGTGCCTGATGCTGCTGCCAATCCATCATCGTCGCGGCTGCCGGGACTTCGCCGATCCACTCCACTAACCTCGCGGAGGAGCCGGCCGGGATGCTCGCCATGCTTTCTTTCTTGGCGTCTGGGACCTCCCAAAGATCAACCAAAGGCTTACAATCCTGGGGGCCGTCGACCGATAGCGTCGCGGCGGCGGCTCCTCCATAGTTGTCGACGAGTTGGAATCCCGGTGCTGGCGCCTCGAGCGGGATTATCGATGCCGGATCTTTCTGCGGATGATCGAACGCCACCGACGCCTCCGAAGCGGCGGCGCCGCTGTGCTGCGCGATCGGGCTGAAATCTTGGAAGGAGAAATCGTCGCAGCAGTCAAGAACCTCGCGGCCGCTGATGCTCACGCTCTCGATCTTGACATCCAGGAGTGGGAAATCGCTGGGGAGATTGTAGACAGCACACGAGACGGCCATGGCGCCGGCGCCAGCGCCTTCGATCGATAGAAATGGGAAGCGCAAGGGACTAGATTCTTCTAAAATCCTAGGCCTAACTAGACGATCGATCGCTGGATCGATCGATCAAGAAGGCAAAGACGCCATCTTTGAGGCGCGGAAAAATGTAGGCGCTAAACCAAAGGAGCGGAAGGGCGTTAACGAGCTGGAAAGTGATAGTGAGAGCACTGGGAGTGCCACCAAATTTGGTGGCTACCCCCAGAATTAGCTTTCCCCAGTGTTCTGTGGACCGCTAGCTTCGCTAGTGGTAGTTTGCAAAAACAAAATGAAGGAAAAGATGAAAAATGGAAAATAGCAAAAAGCAACATTTCTAAAACAAAATGATCCAATTTCAAAAATTATCGCCGCCCGTGGGGCTCGAACCCACGACCACAAGGTTAAGAGCCTTGCGCTCTACCAACTGAGCTAGGGCGGCCTTGATGTGAAAGCTTTCAAGTTTTGGCTTCTTGCCCTTTTAAGCTCTCTTTCTTAAAGTCTTGCATTTTTACTTTTAAAAGGGATAAGGAGTTTTAGGGTTTTTTCGATGGAGCTGCTATGGAGGAGTTCGCCATTCACCAGCGCTGCTCAAATCCCTCTCAAATCCACTCGCCAATCGCCCGCAGGTATTTTCCAGCTGAAATCTTGCCGAAATTTCGCTTCATCGCAATGACATTGCATCAGGAGCGATCCCTTTGTCGATCACCGCCGAGGAATACAATCGCCGGGAGAACAGGAGAATGAAGCACCAAAGAATTCGCAAGAAGGTCTGGAATCGAGGATTTCCAGGAGCTGCATTGCCTGATTCCTCCTCTTTCTTTCTTCCTTCAGCTGAGCGGCACCACGGAGAGGCCACGGCTCGCAGTTTTTCGTTCCAACCAGCATTTGTACTGCCAGGTGATTGACGACACCAAAATGCACACGCTCGCGGCCATGTCGACGATCCAGAAGCCCCTCCGCGACGAGCTCAATCTCAGTTCTGGCCCAACGATTGTAAGTCCTGTTTTTCCTTCCAGTTCTTTTACACTATCTACCGAGAACTTCGCAGGAGGCGGCAAAACGAGTCGGGGAAGAGATTGCCAAGCTTTGTCTCAGTAAAGGAATCACCAAAATAGCTTTCGACCGGGGTGGATTTGAGTACCATGGTCGGATCAAAGCCCTGGCCGAGGCCGCTCGAGAGAGTGGGCTTGAGTTCTAAACAAATTCTTCTCTTTTTGTTTTACTTAACTTTTCTCTTACAGATAATCTCTAGGGAAGAACATCGCAATGTGCGGTGCCTGTTAGCTCGACGTGTGGTGTTTCGGGGCTCAAGGTTTTTCTTAGTCCTTACAGGTGCTCGCTCCCATAGTCATGAGGAGCTCATGCCAATCTCTTCATTCTCCTTCAATTTCATTGCCTTCAAAGCGAAGAAGATTGCGCCGAGTTGCTACTGCGGCTCTCAGTAATGCTCAGGTTCGCAAGCAAGTGCAGCTTCGGTTCTATCATCAAATTGCATTGTTTTCGCAGGTCAAGCAAGCCGAGATGCTGATTGAGCGGCTGTCTACGCGCTTGACAACAGATAAGGTGTGAAGTATGTTTTTCGTGCATCTGCGCTACCCTTTTAAGTATTTCTTCTTCTTTTGTTCACAGGTTTTGGACAAGATTACTACTGTCATTGCTGGCCAAACTCCGGTGCGACGATCATTTTGTTCTCTCTCTTCAAGTTTTGAAGAAAATTCTTGTTTCACAGGTGGAACCAGACATACTGGACAAACAACTCAAGGCCATCACAACCGGAGAGGTGTGTTTTCTTTTTGTTCACTGTTGCTCTTAGAATTGAATTGGTTTGTGTAGGATTACAATTCCTGGGAGGAGTTGAGGACAGAGTTTGTACGCAATGCCTCTAACCTGTGGACGTCTTCTTATGATTTGGCAAGTCCGAGGCCATTTGAAACCTGTGCTTTTCAATCTTAACGATGGCTTTCAGCTTACAAACTTCAATCCATTTGAGCTTGGACACTGGGTCGGGGGCTTGATTGAAGACTTCGCTGAAAGAGTAAAGGATGTTCGCAAGTTTAAATGTGATAATGGTTTTGTTTGCAGTTTGCTGCCTGGGAACTATCTAGTTTGGTGGCCATCGGAGAGAGATGGGTGATCTGGACGCCGCTTGTTGTTCTTACAATGGCGTGGTAAATTGTTTCGTTTTCTATCCACAAAGGATGAGCTCGTAAATGTGCACAGGCAAATGTCAAAGAATAGAAATCAGAACGGCGAAGCGACGGAAAGCCAGTACGTACGTAATACCAGATCTGTATTCATTTTTCCCTCTGTTTTCTCTTTTATCAAGGACATTGGTGCCGCCTGTCACTGAAAAGCAAAAGCAGGTCAGGAAGGAGATCGAGAGAATGAAACTAAGATGTTCGCTTCTACAAGAGGTGGGAGCTATAAAAGTGAGTTGCTTTGGAGGTTTTCTTTGTGAGAATTTGGCTTCCTATAACACAACCGAAATGACAGGGAAGTGCGACTATACAAGCCATCGTGAAGCAGCTCCAGATGGTTGGCTCAATGTTCGACGACGAGACTGCCATGGAGAACATTAACGGGAGCTGGCAGCTATTGTGAGTGTTTTTTCGTTTTCGAAGTTTGAGGTTCCTTGTGCTCTAAGATCTAGCATTGTTCATACAGATATGCGTCTCAAGAGCCCGCGATATTTTCTCGATTGCCCGGTCTAGAGATAAGCAATCTGGAGCAGAAGTTTTCACGGCGGAGTAACGATCAAACGCTGACGATACACAATCTCGCGCTCTTGAGGTTTGTAGGATGATCTTTGGAGTAGCGAATCTAAGCTTTGAAACATAGACTACCTGGTGTGGGAGCGGTCCGAGTGGAACTCAAGGGCGTGTGGAACAAGTCGACTGGTATGGTGGTCTTTGACGAAGTTTCTGCTGGTAGAGCTTTCGAGTCCCCAGTTTCTTGGGACTTGACAAGGATCACTCTCGCGCTGCCCGTTCCTCGGTCCGAGCGGTGGGAGCTTTTGTATATGGACGACGTGATTCGCGTAAACCAGGGAGACGATAGCCATTTGTACATCTATTCCAGACTTTACACTTGAAGCTTTGGAATTGAGCACGCATTACTGCCTCCAATATTCTCGCTATATTGTAATAGTTCTTCCAATCCAAGCTCTAATGGACTGCAGGAACAAGTTAGGAGATCCTAGTCAGCCAGTTGACGGGAACGAGTGATCTTCCGAGCTTCTTGAAACGTTCAGAATTGCGATGGAGTCCCTTCGCTGGATTCCAAGAGATGTTTCTCCATCCTTTCATCCACCACCGAGAGAACTCGCGAGATTTCTTAACGTTTCCACACACTCGGAGAGCAGTGATGGAGGCCGCGCGCTACGCGATCTTGTTCCCGGCGTCAAAGGCGAGGCGATTTAGAGCGAGATCCATCTAGATCTAACTCCAAAATCCGGGAAGGCGTTGCGCCAAGGACGCCCGAGAATGCGCGTGATAATCGGGCGATGGGACCGTGTCGTATGGTATAAGTACTTGGTATGATATTTTATTATTGGAACCCGGTTGCTGAGATCATGGCTATCAGGTAAGTGTAAAGGTGGACCGTTGTAGAAGACCCGGGTTCGATGCCGAAGGGTCCAATCAACAAGGACTTTTATGAAATTTTTTTCCACAATAAGTAGCCTTCGTTCTGGTTCGCCAGCTCATTAAAACAACTTAGACCAGTCAGTTAGGACTTTGGTCTCTCAAAACATACGTGTCCGGTTCGACTCTTCTCTATATTAATCGTGCTTTTCTAAACTAATTGTATAATTAGATTATTAATAAATTAGTTTAACTAAAACTTTTAGGGTTGTGCCCTAGTTTCGTTGGCTAGGGTTTTAGGAAACTCGCAGATCAGGGTTTTCTCTCTTTGTTCTTGGAAATTACATCGCGCAGTCATGGCAGGGATGGCACCGGAGGGCTCGCAATTCGATCCGCGTCAGTTCGATCAGAAAATGGAATTCGCGTAAGTTCTCTCCTCTCTTCCGCAGCTCGAGATCTTTTGTTTTCCTTTTCCTTTTGGCAGCCTCGAGACCGGCGAGGAGGCCCTCTCGACCTGGGAGGAGGTTAACGAGACATTCGATTCGATGGGTCTCCACGAGAATCTCCTGCGAGGGATCTATGCCTACGGTAGGCAAAGGGAAATCTTCTCGAGATTTCACAAGCTTTGTTCTTACGATTCTTGGTTTGCTGCTGCCAGGTTTTGAGAAGCCATCGGCGATCCAGCAGCGAGGAATCGTCCCGTTTTGCCGGGGCCTCGACGTGATCCAGCAAGCCCAGTCGGGGACCGGCAAGACGGCTACGTTTTGCTCGGGCATTCTCCAGCAGCTTGACGGACACCTGAACGAGTGCCAGGCGCTCGTCCTCGCTCCGACCCGCGAGCTCGCCCAGCAGATCGAGAAGGTGATGCGAGCGCTCGGGGACTACTTGCAAACCAAAGTTCACGCTTGCGTCGGCGGCACGGACGTCCGCCAGGACCAGAGGATCTGCCAGTCGGGTGTTCACGTCGTGGTTGGAACTCCTGGCCGCGTCTACGATATGCTCCGCCGCCGGGCCCTCCGCTCCGAGCACATCAGGATGTTCGTCCTGGACGAGGCGGACGAGATGCTCTCCCGTGGATTCAAAGACCAAGTAAGCCACACTTTCCTTTCCTATCGCGTTTCGATTCGTTGTTTCTTCTTGGTTTGATGATTTGCGCTATGAGTTTTCGAGATCTCTCTTTTGTTCGTAACTCTCTTTCTCACTACTTTGGTTGGGTTGTGTGTTTTAAGATCTTTCTTTCTTTTCTCGTTTTCTCGTGTTGGTTTGTTTCATTTTCGAAATCTCTCCGCTGGTTTCGTTGTTCTTCTTAACTTCTCTCTGTCTTTAGATTTCGTTCTTCTGACTGGTTGAGTTCTTTGGATTTTTCATCTTGTTGCTCACGACGCGATTCTCTGTTTTACAGATCTATGATATCTTCCAGCTCCTGCCCGCCAAGGTCCAGGTGGGCCTCTTCTCCGCCACCATGCCGCCCGAGGCGCTGGAGATCACCCGCAAGTTCATGAGCAAGCCGGTCCGGATCCTCGTCAAGCGCGACGAGCTGACGCTGGAGGGTATCAAGCAGTTCTACGTGAACGTGGAGCGCGAGGACTGGAAACTGGACACGCTGTGCGACCTGTACGAGACGCTGGCCATCACGCAGAGCGTCATCTTTTGCAACACCCGCCGCAAGGTGGACTGGCTCACGGACAAGCTGCGGAGCCGCGACCACACGGTGTCGGCGACGCACGGCGACATGGATCAAAACACCCGCGACATCATCATGCGCGAGTTCCGGTCGGGATCGTCGCGAGTTCTCATCACCACCGACTTGCTCGCGCGCGGGATCGACGTCCAGCAGGTGTCGCTGGTGATCAACTTTGATCTTCCCACGCAGCCGGAGAACTACCTGCATCGAATCGGGCGCAGCGGTCGGTTTGGGCGCAAGGGAGTGGCGATCAACTTCTTGACCAAGGACGACGAGAAGATGCTCTTCGACATCCAGAAGTTCTACAACACCGTCATCGAGGAACTGCCGAGCAACGTTGCGGACCTCATCTGAGCAGCGACTTCTTGGAGCGTGAGTTTTTACTTTGTTCGTCTATTTCTTCTTTTTTGTTTCGGCTGCTGTGCGGAAGTTTTGTTTCCGCTGCCTCTCTTTTCGTTTTTGTACTTTTAGTTCGGGAAAGGAATCATCAATTCACTTGAAAAAAAAGTGTGCTCAAAAGTATTTTAATGATAAGATTTTGAATAAAAGAGAATAAGTTGTTATATTTTTAAAATAAATTATTTTCAAGAATTTTTATTATAATAATAAGTAATTCATAATTTGACTGGTGTTAAAAATGCAATATAAGAAAATTAGTTTTTAACTTTTTAAAATTTTAGTTATTTTTATCTATATTTGTCTGAATTTTTAAAAGTTTTAATATAAAAAAATAAACTAATACACCTCAAATTGTCAAACTTAGTAATAGAATATTCAAATGTAATTTTCACAAAGTGTGAGTGCTTTGCCCTTACAAAAAGATATAAGATGTATTGTGAGTGCATAGAATATGGAAAGGGAATACAGAAATGTGCATATCAATTAGCCCAAAAACCCTAGTTTATATACAGGAGCGAGTGGTTCGGATTGAAACCAATCCGACGGCTACCAAAATCCATTACGCTAATATTAGTATACGGCATCGTAACCGTACACTTGGCCCTCACATCATCCCCTCCTCTCGGAATAATGGAAGGCCGTCAGGGTTCTCTTGTAGACGGGCCGGGATCTGGAGGAACGTCAGGAGGAGGCATTGGCGGATCTGTAGACGGTATTAACTACTCCTGATCCCTTTGTATGAAGCGTTTTAACCGCTGCACATGCACAATCTCCGGAGGATTGGCCTGCTGAACGTCATGCCGAACCTCATAAACTTGCGGTCCAACTTGCCGCAACACCCGATACGGTCCTTTCCACTGCGCAAGGAGCCCCTTAGATAAACCACATACCGTAAGATAATTGTAAACCACAAATTTTTCCTTTCCAATTTGCCAGCTTACCTCGTCTACCCGTCCAACACCGCCTTGGCTTTTGCTAAGTTCCCTTGCTAAGGTTCTCGCCTATAGTACCAGCTTCTACTTGGTCTCAGCTACTCACTGCACGAGCAACGGAGTGTTAGCCATCCATCCACGGATTGTAAGCAACTAAAGGGAACGACTCGAGAGACGATCCATAGGGGTTCAAATATAAAGGGAAAAGGCCCATGAATAAGAGTGCACCCCCTTTTCCAATCGGTTAAGGGTCTTGGGATATTTGGGGTTAAGCGTCCTTGGGTGTGAATAGTACTGGGTTGGGTGACCTCCCGGGAAGTCCAAACTCAGGAGCTTACATTTGGTATCAGAGGGGTCTTGGGTCCGACTCTGTTGGTTGGCTAAGGCTTGGGTCCGACTCTGTTGGTTGGCTAAGGGAATCGCACCACATGTTGATTGACATCTGGCTGGTCCAGTTTTGCTCCCGCTGGGCTCGACCCGAGGGGTAGGGTGTCAAGAGAGCGGGGCTCTCGAGAGAGCTGCGGCTCTCAACTTCCGTTCACGAGGGCGTGAACTTGCAGGGAAGCGTGGTGGATTGTAAGCAACCAAAGGGAACGACTCGAGAGACGATCCATAGGGGTTCAAATATAGAGGGAAAGGGCCCATGAATAAGAGTGCACCCCCTTTTCCAATCGGTTAAGGGTCTTGGGATATTTGGGGTTAAGCGTCCTTGGGTGTGAATAGTACTGGGCTGGGTGACCTCCCGGGAAGTCCAAACTCAGGAGCTTACAATGGGGAAAACGGACTAACACCAAATCATCCACTTTGTACTCCGCAGGTGGACGATGATGGGAGTTGTAGCGCCGTTGTTGTCCCACTTGTACGCGGCCTAAGTGTTCGGCAGACTCTGCTCGGACAAGTGGAAGAATGCTTGTCAAATATTGATCCCATGACCTAGCATCAGGAGCTCGTGGCAATCGCGAAGGTAAACCCAACTCTGTTGGTAATATTGGATCATGACCATATAAAAGTTTATATGGTGAAGCACCAATAGAACTCTGCACCCCTGTGACATAGGCATACCGAAGAGACGGCAAATAACCATCCCAATCCGAATGCTGAAAGTTCACATACTTCGAAATCATCCCTTTGAATGTTCGAACGAGCCGTTCCACCAGACCGTCTGATTGTGGATGATAAGCACTCGTAAAAGTGTGGCGTATCCCCAAACGAGATGTCAAAACATGAAATACCTCAACCATAAATGCAGGACCATTATCCAAAAGAATCCGCTCTGGACAAGAATGCTGGAACACCACTCGATTGAGGAGGAAGTATCCAACAGCAGTTGCAGAGGCACTAGCAAGAGCACCAACTTCCACCCAACGAGTCAAGTAGTCAGAAGCAATAATAACATACTCATTGCCAGCAGTCAATCGTGGAAAAGGTCCCATAAGATCAAACGCCACCAACTCAAACGGACGGGAAACTGCAATTGACTCACATACCGGATAATATCACGTCGCATCTCTGGCCAATAAAAAGATTTGTGCAGCTTCTCGGTGACACGACGGTGTCCCATATGCCCACCTAGAACAGGAGAATCATGGTAGGCATGGAGAAACCGCGGAATAAACACCGAAGGTACCACCAATCGTAAATGATCATCAGGATCCGTCCCCACAAAATAAAGAAGGCCATCTTCAAGGTGATATTGAGAATGTAAATGCCGGAAAGGCAAGTCATCAGCAAGTGATGTAGGATTCTCAAACCCATCTCGAAGCCTTCGAATCCACGGCTCAATCTTCTGAGCCTCGCGAACCTCCTCAAGAGAAGGCAGATCTTGCTCTGCACCCTGTGGACACTGAACGTCAAGGACAGCAACCGCCGACGGCACAGAATCCTCATCTAGAAAATCCACAGATGCTGGAACAACAGGTTCGTCAGAATGGTGAGAAGTGAGTGAAGAAGGAAGAGGAGCTCGAGAAAGGGCATCAGCATCAGCCATAGAACTCCCTGGGCGATGAACAACATCGAAATCATATATCTGAAGCTTCAAAGCCCATCGAGCCGTACGACCAACCAGGTTCTTTTGCTTCAATAATGAAGTAACAGCAGCATGGTCACCTTCAAGTAACGTCTGAGAACCATGTAGATATGCATGAAGTTTCTCGAAACCCCAGACTACTGCTAAACACTTCTTCTCCGTCGTGGAGTAGTTCATCTTCGCTGGTTGTAATGTACGGCTTATGTATGCAATGGGATGGCGCTGACCAGGCACACTCGAGCTCTCTTGCATCAACACACCTCCAAGACCAATGTCAGAAGCATCCACGCGCAAAATAAAAGGTCGAGTGTAGTCAGGATATGCCAAAACCGGAGGAGTTGTCAATAGCTCTTTGAGATCCACGAACGCCCGCTCACAATCCGGAGACCAGATGAAAGATGATGTTGATGACTTCAGCAACACTCGCAATGGTGTAGTGCGATCGGAAAGATGATCCACAAAACGACCAAGATACTGCACCTTACCCAAAAAGCGCTGCACATCATTCACACACTTCGGAGTAGGGAACTTTAGAACATCCACAAGTTTGTCAGGATCAACTTGCAAACCCTCACGAGAAATACGGTACCCAAGATAAGTTGTGTCCTTGGACCCAAACACGCACTTCGACCGCTTCAGCTTTAAACCAACGTCGCATAGCCGATCCAACACTTTACAAACATCACGAACGTGCTCCTCCCACGTCCCCTCCGAGTGGATCAAGACATCATCAATGAAGTCAGCAGTCACCTCCGGCATATTGCAAAGAACTTCGTCCATCATCCGCTGGAAAGTTGCTAGAGCATTGTTCAAACCAAACGGCATCACCAAGAACTCGTACAAACCAAATGGTGTACGAAAAGCAGTATTAGGAATATCTTCTTCGGCCATTGGTACTTGCCAATACCCAGAAGCAAGATCTAGCTTGGTGAACCAACGACTTCGCCCCAGACGATCCAAGAGATCAGCAGTGTGAGGAAGAGGATACACATCTGGGATCGTCACTTCGTTTAACGGACAATAGTCGATGCAGAAACGAATACTCCCATCAGGCTTCGTCACAAGATGAGGTTCACATGCCTAAGGACTCCGCGACTTCCAAATAACACCCTTTTCCAGCATTTCCTTGACGTTTGCTCGTAAAATTTTGATCTCTTTAGATGACCGACGACGAACAGGAACCTTGATTGGACGAGCATCCCCGGTGGGAATTGGATGACATGTGGCAATCTTGGCCCCAGACAAGAGGTCAAATTCAAAGAGATCAGAATACTCCTTCATGAGCCAGTCAACTGCTACAACACAAAGATCATCGGAGGGATCGGAAAAAGGGAAAAGCAGAACAAGATGGAAACACAGAAGGAAAGAGTGGGGAAACAAAAGTAATGGAAGCAGAGGTAGAAGTAGAGGGACGAAGAGGTATGGAAGTGAGAGGAATGGATGAAACATAAGGAAGTATGAGACAAGGGGGAGAAGCCTCAAAGTCACACTTGGCATGATTGTGCTGCAACCAATCCATACCAAGAATGAGGTCAAAAGTTTGACTCGGCACCACCCGCAACGACTGCAACTCAAGCTCGAGATCGCCTACACGCACAACCAGGTCCACCTCATCCCGTGCACATGCATGTGTACGGCCGTTGCCATAAAGAATGAAAACTGGTTCTGCCGCACGACGCAAGTGTAGACGACAACGTGTGGCAACAGGTCGATGTGAGACACAAAATCCCTAGGCCCCAAAGTGGAGCCGGAAAGGGTGCCACGTGGTAGTGGCTGAAGCGAGAGCCAAACGAGCGTAACACGTTTGGACCAAAAGCTCCGACTTGAAAAGTCAAGAGCGGGAGTGGAACTCCCAACGAAGTGCTCGAGGAACGAGCACGAAGCGAGCAAAAAGTGAGGCTCCAAAAAGGGACCCAAAAGGACCAACACATGACACGTGGAAGTGTCCAAGATGGACTCGAGTTGGAGTCCGAAGTGGAGTCCGAGATGGACCCGAGTTGGAGTCCGAAGTGGAGTCCGAGATGGAGTCCGAGATGGACCCGAAATGGAGTCCGAGATGGAGTCCGAGATGGACCCGAGATGAAGTCCGAGATGGAGTCCGAGGTGGACCCGAGATGGAGTCCGAGATGGAGTCCGAGGTGGACCCGAGATGGTCCCGAGATGGAGTCCGAGATGGAGTCCGAGGTGGACCCGAGATGGACCCGAGAT